ACGTACACTGTGAAAAAAGCCCTGCAGTGTTTTCACTGACGAATCACCGTAAACACAGAACGGCTTCTTGAGGCGAAAAGGGAAAGTTATTTCTTTAGAAAAGATTTTCTGTCAACAAATCAGTTGGATGTGATAACTCACGACACAATACACCAGCAAGCATGCAGTGTGTTTCCACGGTCGTGCTGGAGTCAAAACGCCTGACAAATGACACATGCAACGTCTGTTTACGTGAGTGTTTTAAAAAGAAGTCTGAAGGTGAAAAGCTGCGAGAGGAGACGAGTTCAGCCGCAAACGCAACGTCATCTCGGATGCATGAAAAAGACATGGTCTTCAGCGGAGGATCTGAAGTGCGAGTAGTCAACTAAAAATAGTAGTTTATGAAATATGTTTGTGCCTGGTGCTTTAAAAGGCTTGTTTTGAACCACGTTTGTGAAGCCCTCTAGAGCTCTGCATCAGTTTGAAGCAGAAGAGATAAATACACCCACAATTCTGCTTTCATAAACCTCAGTATCATCTAACATTCTGATTAAATAAATGAGTTACACCATTTGCATTACATTTATTACACCATTATACTGAACTTCACCGGTATACAACAGGAAATCAGGCCGACTGCGTCTGTTACCGATCTACAAACTTCACATATTTTAAATTGAACCCTAAATGCCCCAAAAAAACTAATTTAAAACCTTCTAAATCATATTCTGCGCAAAAGGAGCATGACAAAAATGAGATACAAATATTCTACAATATTTACTTTGATAGTTACTGTGTTAGCTATGTTTCACTCGCTTTTTAACAAACCAGAAAAAAAAACGTGCAACACGTCAAATGTTGACGTTTCTGAATCCCCAAAACACTTTTATTAGGCTCGTTCGACTTAAACCAGGCGTGCGCAGAATCGATCACCGGCGATCGGCGCACACTGCATGCTGGGTAGATTTGCATCCGACTTGCTCTGACGTCATGAAAACGTGCGTAACGATGATCTCACGTGAGCGGGGCGGCCGCAGATTTTAGAGCCAGGCTATTCAGAATTGCTCTCCACCGACTGCATGACCCCACGGCATGATGGGAAACTTCTTGCTGTCTTCGGATCAAAGAGCTGATTGGCTCTTAGATTTTCTTTAGTGGAAAAGGTGGGCGACCGTGGCTCACTGGGTTAAGAGGTTTGACTGGTCAGCACAAGCTTGGCTGTTCGAGCCTTGGCCTTTGACGTGTCACCTGTCAAAGACATCCCCATATATAGGGATGGGTCAAATGCAGAGACAAAATGATCCTTAATTAACAGGATAAATATAGTATAAACAAATTTTAATGCTAGATTGTTGGCTATTAGTCTCATTTTGTGCAATAACAATAATAATATATAAGGTTATTTATTTAGCATCTGTAAATAAAGATATTTATTGAGAAAGCCTACATCCTACTTGATGTCAACATGTTCTCAGTCAGAGCACTGGAATGTGTCCATCGATTGATTGTGAAGCATCACAAAACATATTAAAGAAAAGCACAATTGTCACTGATGGAAACTTGCAGCGCTGCTTTTCCTCCGTGTGGAGCCTGTTTATGTAGCTGTGATGTTTGGACAGTTGGTTCAGTTTTTAAATTTCTTAAATTTACAGTTGTATGATTTAGAAATGACGCTATCTTCACATATATTTATTTATATAAATGTTTAAATAAATATGACATCCAAGAACTAAAATATGCCCAATCTTATATCCTCAATTATAATAATAACATAGTTAAATATATAAAAAGACATCCAAACTTAAAGACCAGCAATTTTGGGGTTAAGTGTCTTGCTCAAGGACACATCGACATGCTCCTAGCGGAGCCAGGGATCGAACCGCCGCTCCTCTGATTGAAGGACGGCCCTGCGCTCCACTTAGCCAAGATCAGTTCTAGACTACGGCTGTGTGGAATATAGGTCGGCGTCTAAAACCTTGTTGGGAAAACTGGATGTAATACAAGCGTCAAGAATATGTAGTGGGGTCTTTAAAACAACATCTGTGCCGGCATTGCAGGTAGAAATGGGGGAAATGCCGTTGGAGTTGAGAAGAATCCAGATCATGATGACATATTGGGTCAGTTTACAAGGACATAACAACCATCCAACAATAAGTGCAATTGAGCCATGCTGGGAACATGACAACAGGCCAACAAAGAGCTTTGGTTGGGTTGTTCATAAGAAGGCTAGTGAATTAGGTTTTAGGAGTTATTCTCCAGCTGTGGTCCAGCTGTTCCTCTTTGGTTACTGCCACAGCCTGAAATAGATCTTGGCCTCCTTGAACTGATGAGAGATGAACGTGGGGGAAACTGTAACATCTTCAAGTCATACATCAGTTACCACAATTAAATACAGATTTATGGACCCTAGAGACCCTAAAAATGGTAGAACAGCAGCAGCAGCAGTGATCCCAGAATTCCATTTGGAGTGTGGGAAGAGACTCAGTGATGAGGTATCTGTGTTTGCATGTGAGATGATGGCCATAGAGTTATTGCGTTACAGTGGGTAGAGGAGGTCAGGCCAGAGAGAGAGGTGATTGCATCAGACTCATGTGCAGTGCTAACGAGTTTGACATGTTGCCACTCCAGAAGCAGAGAGGATCTACTGTTTGAAATACTACAATCATTTTTAAGAATCCATCAAATGCGGATAGCGGTTCATTTAGTGTGGGTCCATGTTGGAGTCGATGGCAATGAGAAGACGGATAAAGCAGCAAAAAGTTCTTTGAAGAGTGGGAGAAATAACGTTAATGTAAATATAAGTAAGTCAGAAGCTAAAGTGGTGATTAAGGGACAAATCAAAAAGATATGTCAGAACGAATAAAGGGAGTAAAGGAAGATATCTGTTTAAAAATAAACCATTGGTTGGGAGCAGGATCTAGTGGACAAACTAGAAAAGAGGAGATGATTATGACAAGACTAAGGAATGGCCATACTGGTCTGAACAGTTCCCTCTATGTTATTAGAAAGCATAATAATGGAAAGTGTATATTTTGTGGAGAAGAAGAAACCGTGGACCATGTTTCATTGTCCTGTCAGAGGTACGAGTCAGCGAGAGAAGTTTTGAAAAAAGGTCTAAGAGAGATTGGAGAGGAAAATATCATTAATGTACTAAAGAAAAGCTTCAGTGACAAATGTTGGAAACTTTTTCTGGAATATTTAGGCAACAACACTAATGAATAGAATTTGAGAAAGAAATGTATTATTGTTAATTTTTTCTATTTTATTATTTTATTTTTTCTATATATGTGTATATATATATATATATATATATATATATACACACACATATACATATATACACACATATACGTATATATATAGAGACGCACAATGCCGCATCGTTAACGTTGGTTAGGTTTAGAAAAGAAAAAAAGACTTGGTCAAAGTTAGAAAAATGTTTATGTTAAAATAGTAATGTAACAACGGAATTACCGTAAAAAACGGACTACTGCTCAAAGCAGACTTTCTAAGGTAACATTACATAACAGCGATCTCCTGTGTGAAAGTCCTGTTTAGCTTGACCCACTCCATGCTAAGATCACATATCTAATATCATGAAATCCTTCAAGTGGTTGGTCTGTTTTTTTTCTTTTCTGCTCATCGTGTCCTCGTTCGTATAGTATCTTACGAAACACTCACTCCCCATTTTTCGTGCGTTTTCCTATGAAAGCCCAAAACACGTTACATGCTTGCGGTCTTTTCAAAATAAACTTCCGTCTTCAGAGGAAACTCAACAAAACTACTTGGTTAGGTTGAGGAAAAGATCGTCGCTTGGGTTAAAATAACTTGTATCACTAAAGTATACAAGTTACATGACAAAAACATCAGCACTGCCTTCTTGTTTCACGCCGGGACATCTATGAATTACGAAGCATTCTTTTTTCGTAGGTAAAGCTACGAACGCTGGATGAGACCACCCTGTTCCACAGATGTCTTCAGACGTCTCTGTCTGGTTGTTTTTTCTGTACCAGAGTTCATTTGACGGCTTTCAAACCAACCGCAACAAACCAGACTCAAACAGGTAAGTGACCCAAAGTCCACTTGAACCGCAACAAACAAAATCACTGGGTGTGTGTAAACAAGAGGGACCTCACTGGAAATACAGAGACAGATTCATATGTATTATTTCATTTTGAATGCCATATCGTCCATAGAACGCTTTCTGCTGTTTCAAACCAAGAGTTAGTTATTTTTAACACTGAAGACCATAAACTTAAATTGGAAAAGTCCAACCTATCAGGCAATACGCCACATTGAAAACACGTTTCATGAAGAACGTTAGTGAGACTCTGTGTCATGAATCGTATGTCTCATCTTACTGTACCCGCTGTTAATGTTGGAAATGAATCGTATGTTATTGTTACTGTAGCTGTTTTGTGAAAGAGGAAATGTATCTCAGGAGACTCCCTGGTTTGATCAGAGATGAGTCAGTAATAAGAACATAGATCAACAACATGCGACCAATGTGAAGAACACTGGGCATGCTCTCAGGTTGCATCCGCGTCATCATCCAGCCGAAAATGTCACAGCGAAGATAATGAACTGTAGCATCGCTGAAACATTAAAGCGCCATATTCAGCTGTTAATATGTCATTAAGAGACATTAGCAACATGACATGGGCTGCAGATGGAGCCAAATTACACGCCGATTAGATGGCAGTCGATGGGCCGATAGATGAGTCGATGGGAGTGAGAGTGGAGGCTCCGGCGCGCCGTCATGCATTTTAAGAAGTTAATTTCCATAAAAAGGTGAGAAGATGATCTGCATGACGAGCCGCCAAACATCTGGAGATGCTTATCATGATGCATGTCTCTGTAATGGACATTCAGATGTTTTTCATCAGGCCAGACGCGGAGAATGTGGCGACCCTTTAATGCGCGGGGGCATGAAGGTGACGTCATTCCCCGTCTCTCTCTTTTTTTTTTTGTGTGCATCAGGCAAAAACAAGGCGACGAAGGACGAATGAAGGACCACCTACTTAATCTGTGTAGAGAGGAGGAGTATTTACTTAAGTCAGACTTGAGGGCCAGCTCGTAGGAGGGCGGCAGATGGCTGAGGTTCTGGAAGGATCTGGACAGGGACAGGTCGTAGGGCTCCGTGGCCGAGGTCAGGATGTTGTTCATCCGCTGGGGTCGCTCTACAGGGGGGGACAGGGGGAGGAAGCGGTGCGGTGCAGTCAGAGCACAGCCAGTCAGAGAGATGGGTCACACACATGGGAGTCTCTACTAGAGGAGAGGAAAGGGAGGCCGAGAGCGAGGTGTGATGTGGGGAAAGACGTGTGGATTGGACAGACTCGTGCTGGAGGGCTTCGGCTTTTTGGGAAACAACGGCTTTGATCTCGACCCATTCGCTCCAGAATCAGCAGCAGAGCGTTGGGTTATTAAAGCTACGGCTGCAGGTCGCGAGCAACTTCATGTCGTGAAGTTTTGCTGCACTTTATGAGAACTTTCTTGCACTGTTGTTTTTATTTGGTACAAACAGCCAATGCACTGACACAATAGACGCTGACTGTACATTATGTTCTGTGACTCATTTAAATACTTAAAAAATAAGGAAATCGAAGGAAGTTTTTTTTTCTGTTACGCTGTGATTGGCCTTCGTTTGAGGGGCGGGACTTAAGGAAGGGTCAATTGTGAATTTTCTATATTCCCACATCGATTTTGAACTGGTTACAGACACATTTTAGAAACTCTATAGTGTTTCTTCTAGTGAGGAAATCTAAACCCCTTGATTTTTGAAAGGAGTCTGGTGACTTTCCTTTGAGCATTTCAGGGTTATTGTTCACTGAATGTGGCCGAGTTGTAGCATCAATAAAATCTACTAATCTGCTAAATCTTTGCCGTCACACATTCTGAGCTGGAAATTACATCCGTTAACTGCGTCTAAGCAGCTCAACTTCGGTTCGTCGTGCTTTATACCAGTTCTGTTTGGGCGTCAGTGATGTGTGTGGCAGGCTCCCTGCACTGCGCGGAGCTCCCGTGGCTTCACTATTTGGGATGCCCAGTCATCATGGGTCAGGAGGCGCAGCGGGTGGGGAGGGCCGGGATACGGGCAGGGACTCTGGATTTAAAAATAGGACTAGGGTGACTACTGCAGAAAGGAGGACAGGGACACACAACACCGAGGAACATATGGTGCAGAGGGGAGACATCCACTGAGCGTGGGTTCGTAGGGAAGACATAGCCGGTTAGGTGGAGTGAAAGAGTAAAAGATAATGTGTGAAGAAGAGAGTTTTGACATCGGACTAAAAGGTCATGGACTGTAATGTAGCAGCGTGAATTGTTGTGACAGCAAAAAAATAAATACACAAGCACTCAAAAGAAAAAAGACCCCCAGTGTGCAGGTTGAGAATGTTTGATCTCTACATGATATATATGGAATGAAGAATACACATAAACACCGTAGGTATGTGTATCACTTACCGTGTCTCATTTGTCTGTGGGCTAACGAATCCAAGTGAGAAAGAAAGGATCAAAAACAATCAACTTTGCACAGAATGTTTCAACCAAACCTCCCGCGCCGGAGGTTCAACGCCCGTATTGCAAGAACGTTGCCACGGGGGCTAACACGAAGTCCAAAACTAGCAAAGTGTGGAATTATGCATAACCGCTACTATCCCTCATCAGGAGCTAAATAGACTTCAAAAGCGCTGTTTGAAGAGTTTTATTTGGTGCTGTAAGTGCTTTTGAAACCCATTTTCTCTGTGAAGAAGGGCCGTGCTGTTTAAGAGGCAGACTGTGGACCATTAACGGTGGGAAAGTTGGTCTAAGGACTCAACGACACTGCGGCCTCTGCGGTTTTTAGAATATCATAGAGGAAGATCTTTTAAAAAAAAATATATATATATATACATAAGAAGTCCGGCCAGATTCCCTCTTTAATTCCACAGCGCTTTATTTCATCGGCCGTTTAGATGCGGGAGCACTCGGTAACTCCATACTAAAGGCTGATCTCCCTTCACACAAAATCACATTTAGAGAAATAGATGGGATGCACTAACAGTAATTGAGTTTTCAATAATTGCAGCAAATCGCGCAGACGATCCTTTGATTATCACACACGTTTAGCTTTTCATTCCCCCCCCCCCTCGAGGACTTCTTTATCAGCTTCTCAGATTTTAATTTCCCCGTGAAAGATATACTTTTGTTCTTGAAATTGGAAAAAAAAGTCAATCACAAGAACTGTTTGGCTCACTTTTATTTCGAGACGGATAATGAGGCAGATCATTTGGGAAAGTCAAGTCGGGTCAATCACCGCCACTTAAAGTAAGAGCAGCCTAGAACTTTATCTCAGCATTTAACAGCTGCAGCGTGGTGCGGTATATTGCCTCCCACATCTATCGTTATCTCAGGTTCACACAGAGACGCTTTGCACCACATGTAAAGTCACCGCTCCAGGTAACGACTGTACTGCTTCACTGTGTTTTCTTACCCAGTTTAGGTGTGAGCGCGGTCAGGTCCAGGTGGCTGTGCTGATAGTCATGGTGATGGTTTCCTATTGTAAGAAGAACAGAGAGTCAACACCTCATTTCAGAATGACAAGAAGAAAATCAGACATTTCACCAGACTATGGTTGATGTTAACGGGTCAGTTCGAACAACTTAAAATATATATATTCTCCTTCTTGACCTTCTGTGGTAGCGTATCATGCGTCTTTAAGATTTCTTCTGCAAAATAACACACCGAGGGCTCCTGGAAATCAATTTCAGCGCTTTATCCTAAAGGACGTCCCATTTTCGAAAGAATTGCATCTCAAGGAGTAAGGAGGCTTGCCGGATGAGCTAAAAGCGAGGATACACTAGTGTGTCCTTGCCTCGACTCCTCTTTCCATGCGCCTGTTCGCGAGGAAAGGAATCGAGAATGTACACACTGGAAAATGAGAAAGGCCCTTACAATCCTGCAGTACCTGCAGTCTGTAGATCCTTTACAGAGTAGACACAATCTAATTCAGAACTCTCAAGGTCAAAAAGTAGTGAAGTGTATTAAACTAATAGTTGTAGTAGCCACTTCAACTCAGGCAGGCAGACGAGACATTCAGCTAACATCAATGTCAAGTCACACTTTTAATCCTGTGTCCCTGTCAATCGTTTATTTATCTCTTTTTATTTGCCAAAGTTATGTAAAAACTTTACATCAAATCACTGTCTTTTCTCTTCCGTGAAACACTTTCAAATGTTTGATGAATCTTCCTGCAGTCAGAGGCGTTTAAAAGAAAATAAATGAAATGAGACTTTGGGCGACCAGCTAGGCCCAGCGTTCGTATATAACCGCGTTTGTGGATCGTAGAAGCTGACAGAGCATTATGAGGAGAGAAAGGAAAACGTGTTTGGATATCAGTGGGTCACATATTTTTCCAAAACAATGTGACCGAGGTTTAATTCATTCAAGGAAACGGTCAACAGTCCTCTGTAGCTCCGCCCCCGCGCTAACCACGCATGTCATTCACATCCATTCACACACTGATGGCACAGCCTGTGGGAGTCATTTGGGGTTAAGTGTCTTGCTCAAGGACACATCGACGTGGACTTGTGGAGACGGCGAACAGCCGATCCTGTGATTGAACGACCCGCTCGACCACTGAGCCACAGTTGCTGGGTGGTGCATTAAGTGCGTTATCTAACAGTTATGCCATGATAAAAAGACCTTTGCTGGGGCTGTATAGAACCCTTTTTAAAATGTTTCTGACAAATGTTGCCCTCCTGTTCGACAGAGTATCAGTCGGCTTTTCCTTCCAGTTCGGTCAGTGTTTGCTCACCCCCCCTCCCAGATATGAGAGCTTTGATTTGTTGAGAGCGTCTCGAGTGAGCGGTGAACCGTCGCGGCTCAGTTATGGGACTGCGAGTGTTTCTTCATTTGACAGAATCCACAGAGTACCGCGGCTTCGCCCCGAATGATTGATCACAGCCTCTTTATCCGGTAACACGGAGGCAGCTACTCATGGTGATCCATCTTTGGCTGTAAGTGAGTCATTTGACGCTGCGCTAATATCGTTACGTGTTGTTTGAGTGGTTAAAGAACAAAGCAACATCATCCGAGACCTCCATCACCGAGCAGCTATGGGAGTTTGAATAATTTCAGAGAGGGACAATATTGCCCTTATTCAATTACGCTTTGTGTTTCTGAACAGCGCAGCAAACAAAACACGGATATGTGATAGTTGTGCCTTATTTGCATTTAAATATGATCATTTATCATCCTGTGGGAGAGCTAAAGACGATAAAAACACGTCTCTGATAGCTTAAACCTACATATATGAGCTCTTTAGAAGGCTTTCAGCTGACTACAGGGTGGGCTTGTGTGCTGCCTTTGTTAAAGATCAGTGCCTGTGTTTCAATGATAAAGCCTCCCCCGGCGGGTGGATGTGACATTTCTGACATATGCTATTTGACTTTTGCTGAGATCTAAAGCCAGTGTAAAGATAAATCCTACAGTGTTAAATGTGGTGTTGGAATTTTGTGCCAATCTCGACTGAAATTGATATTCAGTTCAGGAAACAGGAGGAATGTAAAGACTTGGGTTAAATGGATTTACGTAGCTGTGTACCATAATTATAAAACCAGGCTTTGGTCCGTCCTCCCAGCAGCTGTGCTCTCCAATCACACAGGTTTGATCAAGGGACCAATTATAGCGGCTAAGGAAAGCTCAGCTAAATGACTCTATGAAATGAAAGCAGTTTTTGCACCAAATAAATAACAACCTTTTACTATCTGTGTAATTGCAGAAACTCCTTTTCTTTCTTTCTTTTTCACAGCTGAGAAACGGACAGATAAATTCCACACATTAAAATTCACAGCGAGTGTTTAACCAAGGTTCAAGAGTTTATCACCCTGCAAGGATTTTTCTTTTCTCCGAGATAATCTCCGGATCAGGCTTTACACGTGTGCGATCCAATTATCCCCTTTATGTGAGGAGTCTGACTCTTATTGCTACTATTGTGCAGCAACTCTGGCCCGAAACCGAGCACACATTGTATTACTTTGTTCATGAGGGAGGGGCGAATTTCACGGTGAAGTCTGGTCCCAGCAGTCGATAGATGAAGTGAACAATCACAAGATAGAGAAGCAGTCGGACGGAAGACATTCATAGCAGACGCAGTTATTTTTGCTTTTTTAGGCGTCTTGCTGCAGTTTTTCAGACATTTATCTCTGCGGCTGGGGCGTTTGAAAATGCAAACTAAACTGCAAGGATCAGGATTATAACTGCCGAGACAGGAGACGTACAACGAAAGACAATAACGAGTTCGAACCCAAAGTCACTGGCACCAGAATGTGATTTGTTGAGATGTCTTCCACCAGAAATGACTTTCCAGAAATCACCACCACTGCTGCAATAGACTGCAGACTGTTGCAACAGCCCCGATGGATGGAGCTTCTTTCCGTTGTCTGTCACTCTCCATTTGCACTTTTCTACAAATACATTTAAACGGCGTGCAGATATGGAAAGAAATATGTGAACACCAAAAGATTACAGCCGTTATTTAACGTGCCCTTCCAAAACCAAAAGGTGTCAATCTGCTGCTTTGTTGGTTTCATTGTTTTCCACCAGATGTTTGAACCAGGCTGCAGGGATTTGCTCCCATTCAGCCAAGAGAGCGTCAGTGAGGTCCAGCACTGATGTTGGGTGATCAGGTCCAGCTCACAGTTCATCCCAGAGGTGTTGGTCGGGGTTGAGCTCAGGGCTCTGTGCAGGCCAGGCAATTTCAGGCTGGGAAAAACATGTATTTCTCACAGATTTGAGAGTGTTTTCACCTTTATTGGGTGGTTGACAGTAGAGAGGCGGACAGGGACAGCGGATAGAGGAATGACATGCAGCAACCAGGGGAAACTATGTCAACTATTGCCACGAAGTTTGAAGCCAACTGTGGTCAAAGTAACATAGTATGCTGTAGCTTTAAGATATGACATGCTGACTTGATTAATCCACATTTGTAGTGAGTATTAGTGGCAGCAGAACGGTGTGTGTTGGATTAAGTAAAAATTAACTCCAGTGTGTGTGTTCATGGGGATGAAGGAACAACACTGCTGCTCACTGATGCGTTTTTAATTGTTCTTCGACAACAATGGTGTTTGGTCTTCTCATGAGATTTGTTGACAATAATTATTGAAGTCTTTTGTCCGGCTTTTGTCAGTTTTAAATATCCAAGTGCAATAAGAATGTTGCCAGCCATCTTTAAATAATGTCAATAATGAGTGAAATAGTCTCATCACTGTGCAGCACCACACTGAATGTAATGAGTTCCTCATTTTCTTTCCAGAGGCTGAAAAAGGTTCAAACTGTTGCTGCCACAATAAAAGCTGTCAGAGAAAAGTGGAGCAAATGTTATTCGTCCTCCTCTAGACAACAGCTTCATCAGTCACACTGAGGCGTAGACGTGTCTGAATCCGGCCGGACACAGAGCTCAGCGAGGTATGTAGAGGAGGAGAACGTAGACCTGCTCGGATTCAATACATAATGCAGCAGCTCTCACTGCCGGTGGAGTGTGTCACATGGATTGGCCGTAGTAACGCCGGCGGCTCTGTCACAAATGAATTGAACGCTTCCAGGTTCCAGCGGGTGGACAGAGGGGGACCCCGCTGTGACCCAGATCCATTTTAAATGGCTCGCTCTGGGGGAAGCTGATGGACAGACGCAGGCTCCGGGGAGAGAGAGAAAGCCCCAATCACTCTGTCGTTATGCTGGCAGAGGGTGAAGCGCCATGTGGACCTGGTGGGACGGATCACCTCGTTATGCCCTTGTGCATATTATGTGTGAGAGAGTTTTCACCTTCCAACTTCTCAGGACTTTAACCTCTGATGGAGAAATTTACATCTGAAGCACCAGAATCTGAAGAGGTCAATCAAAACGATTTACAATCTAACGATGTGAAGAAATGATATTGTTATCTGACTAATAGGTTCAGTTCAGTGCAGTGCAGTTGGCAACAGCTACAATTTTGTCATGATCTCTGGTTTTGTTTAGTTCCCTGCCTCTCGTGTCCTGTGTTTCTTTAACTTCCCTCCATTTTCCTGTGTATCACCTTTGTGTCATCAGCCTTGCTCTGTTCCCTTGGGTCTTTCTCAATTCCTGATTTTGTGCCTCCTTGAGTCCTTTCCTACAAGCAAGGGAGATACGAGCGGAGGAGGCGAGGAAGAGACGAGAGGAGTCGAGGCTACAGGCCTTTAACAAATGAGAAATCCTCTCCTCGGACCATCGTTTTAAAGCGACGTCAATTAAATATGGTGCATGGCACAGCTGACCATTGTTATACAATTCATACAATACAAGAAGGAACTGTTACATGTGTAGTGTCCAGTCGGGGTTTGAGATCATTACAGCCGTGCGTCACGTGCTTAAAACGCTTCCTCAAAGGACACAGCGGTGTTTCCTCGCTCATAGCTCCTCCAGCAGGCCTCCTCAATCCTCGCGATGCATTTGAGGAGTTGGGATGTCCATCAAGTGCTGAGACCAATTTCAGGGATACAAGTCGGAGGAGCGAGGAGGCACAACATCAGGAAA